CTGTTTCCGATTCTGTGTCTCCCTCTCTCTCTGCCCCTCCCCCATTCATGCTCTGTCTCTCTCTGTCCCAAAAATAAATAAACGTTGAAAAAAAAATTTTTTTTAAAAAAGAAAAGCTTTCCCCATCTCTGCAGCCCGGGTTCCAGATTCTCTCCGAGGCTTTCTCGTGTATGCTGGAGAACACTGGGTGGAGACGCAGTGCGTTTTATCCTGAAAGTGTAAGTCTCCTCCTGTTACACGCTGGCTGGTGTATGTTCCTACAGAATCAAAGGAGACACACTCCTGTAAACCTCCATGCATAATAAATGTGCCAGGAGGAATTCGTTGTTTGGGAAAATCCAGGCAGAAGGGCAGGACGGAAGCCTCAGCCTTTCTGCCAAGCTAGCCTCCATTCCCTGGAGGCCGCCGAACGGAAGCAACGGCAGCCACAAGCTACGAAAGTGGAGAGGGGAGACCCTGAATCCTGGCTGTTTGTGCATCTCTGAGGTGCGTGCACTGGGTTGGATACTCTTCGGGGCTGATGCGGCTGAACCTGTCCCAGGCTCCTCTCAGGGAGGTGAGAACCACGAGGTTTCCAGTGCCTCGTGGAGTGAGAGACCCCAGTCTCCCCTCAGGCTCAGCTCCTGACGGATGCTAAGGGGCCCCACACCCACCAATAGCAGAGTTGGGGAGAAGCAGCCACCGGTTCCATTCCCAAAGGCAGCAGCCTGGGGGCTTTGAACTGCTCTTCAGCACCCACGGCCCACACTGAGAATCACAATCCTCCAGCAGACGAGAGAGAGGGATGAGTGGGGAGGGGGGAGTCCCCCGATGACTCCTACCTCCACTATTCTTCCATCATCACTACCTCAGCATCTGTATTTGTGGGCTATTCTCTAGGGTAGCTTTTAAAGCAAATGGCCACTCTTCGAGGACACGGAGAAAGAGGAACCCCCGTGCACTGTTGGAGGGAACGCAAACTGGTGCAGACACTGTGGAAAGCAGTGTGGAGGTTCCTTAAAAAATTAAAACTAGAAGGGGTGCCTGGGTGGTTCAGTCGGTTGAGCGTCCAACTTCGGCCAGGGTCAAGATCTCGAGGTTCGTGGGTTCGAGCCCCGCGTCAGGCTCTGTGCTGACAGCTCGGAGCCTGGAGCCTGCTTTGGATTCTGTGTCTCCCTCTCTCTCTGCCCCTCCCCTGCTCACTCTCTCTCTCTCTCTCTTTCTCTCAAAAAATAAACATGGGGCGCCCGGGTGGCTCAGTCAGTTGAATGTCTGACTTCGGCTCAGGTCACGATCTCATGGTTTGTGAGTTGGAGCCTCGCGTCGGGCTCTGTGCTGACAGCTTGGGGCCTAGAACCTGCTTCGAATTCTGTGTCTCCCTCTTTCTCTGCTCCTCCCCTGCTCATACCCTTGTCTCTCTCTCAAAAAAAAAAAAATAAATAAAGATTAAAAAATAAGCATTTTTAAAAATTTTAATTAAAGTAATAATAAAAAAATTAAAAACAG